TACAAAGGACCTCCCATTACTTGAAAATCTGACAATTGCTACATCGCTGACGATATTGCCATACTAAGCAGTAATCACAGTGCTGATCAGCTTCCCGACAAAACGCAAGAACTTATCAAAAACTACAAATGCTGCTTGCTAAATGGAAGATTTGCATAAATGAAACCAAATCAGTTCATATCACATTACCCTGAGAGAGGGTACGTGTCCTCCAATTTATTAAATAACGTCCAGATTCCGAAACAGAACATAGTGAAATATCTTGGTCTCCATTTAGATAGCAGACTTACTTGGAAAAGCCATATAAAAACAAAAAAGCAGCAAATAATGATCAAAATGAAAGAATTTGATTGGCTACTGCGTAAAAAGTCGAAGCTCTCTGTCGAAAATAAGTTGCTGCTATATAAATCGATTATTAAACCAATCTGGACCTACGGAATTGAGCTCTGGGGATGTGCTTACAAATCTAATGTAGCTATATGCAGAGAACTCAATCAAAAATTTTACGTACAATTCTTAATTCTCCGTGGTACGTGACAAATGAAACCATTCACAGCGACCTCAACATAAAACGGTGCAATTAACGTTTAAAGAAGTTAAGGAAAAATATAAGCGCAAACTGGACGAACATTTGAACCTTCTATAGTTGACATTACTCAACCTTTTGGCATTAGGAGGTTGAAACGACAATGGCCCTTAGACTTAGTCTTAGATTAGGTCTAATATATCATATTAATTGTAAAACTGAGAAGTTCTCATTGGAGCTCTTCTTAGGCATCACTCATAAATGTTGTCATTTTAGCTCATAGGAATCTTTATGTATTTCTGATTGCTAAATAAAACTGAGTTAAAAAAAAAAAAAAAAAAAAAAATGTTATTTCCATACGAATACTATCTAAAAGTTAGTATTAAGAGCTAAAACTTTCAGAGAATTGTGTTATCAATTTGGAACTGTTTGAGCCTTGGGAGCAAGGAAATTCGAAAATGTCCATATTAAGGATTGTTTCTATACAGCTGACGCACAGCTGATTGCTTGAAAAAAGGATCAAAGTTTTCAATATAAAAAAGTCAAATATTTCAAAAAGTCAAATTTTTCCAAAAATATCAAAATGATCAAATATCTAATTTTTCCAAAGTTATCAAAAAAAAAAAAAATTAGAGTTTTTTTAAAAATTTCAATTTTTGGTATGGAAAGTTTTAGTAATTTGCTTTAAAACATGATGCCATGCACTACTAGTTATTTTAATTCACTTAAGAGTCAAACTGAGACTCTTCATGACTTTGTAATACAATGCAATAATGTAGTTGGTTGTAAAAATTAAATAAGTTTTTGAAATTGGTTGCTGCTAAAATTTTTAGAAATAAATATTGATTGTTTTTATTTGAAAATCAAAAATTTATGTATAACGTAACATATGAATTTATTTTTAGATTAACGATAATGAGCAGGTTTTATATATATCTATAAAACTGTATATAAATTATATCGATCTAAATATCGTTATTTGCATTTGCAAAATTAGTTACGCCACAATAGAATTCTGGCAACATTCGATCCCCGACGCTTTCGAATATATCCTTTTAAAATATTCGTCTATGCACAATGACAATAGGACAAGAAAGGTCTTCAACGGACATTGCTGATTTATTAGAAATCTAGTCAACAAAATCTCGGGACCCATGGCCAGGGGTCGCATTTTACATTATAGGCCTAAACACAAGATCGATGCAGGAGATATGTTAGTATGCAGTTCGCACATTCCACAGAAATCCATTAGATAGAGAAATTTGGATTTGATCTCTTGGTCGATATAGATATAGATACAGATATAGATGTGTGTTCGTGCGAACATATCTGCGGTTTTGAGCTTAAATGATATTTAATTTTGTATAGAGAACGAAGATTTATTTATAAATCTTACATTATTGGTATGTTCTTTCAAGCTTAAATCCATGTAACTAAATTTGCTTCAATAAAATACAGCTTTATTGTATTCTTAGGTTTCTGTATACATTATGACCTTCATTCCGGAATAAAAATAAAAAGATTTGCACTAATTAAGATATACATGCACCGCACTATTAAATTTGAAATATAAATGTATAGGGTAGGGCGGGGCACAAAGCTCCAATTTGACTTTGAGCAGTTATCTTTATTGTATTAAGTATTATTTTTATTATTCAGAAATTTTATTTATTTTATTTATTAATTTTATTATTATTATTATTTGCTTTTATTTTATATTAAATCAACATACTACGGATATCATTTTAATGGAAATCCTATCCTTTCTTTGGTACTCTTTTTATTTAAATTTATATTATTGTTCATTATTGTTACTAGGCGTTAAATTATTTAGCAGTTGTAACGAATATGGTAATTAAAAAAAATCTTGTAAAAACCAAACCGATTATATCACAACAAATAACGCATATCAAACAAACTATTATCTGACTATGTTCATTGAAACTACCAGCTAATGATTTATCATTGTAGAAATGTGTTTTTTGCTGTTTCTTCAAAAATTTGTCGCCTGTTTTTTTTTACCCCATAAACGGGGTAAAATGGGACGGCCACGAGGCAAACTGGTCCAATGTTTTATTTTTAAACGTAAAAGGACTTTGCAAAATAATAGCTACATTATTCAACCAATACATATTATTAATTTCATGGGTAAATTTTCTACAAAGATAACACTGTATATAATCTTGATCTGGTATTTCGTCAGCAGAGTTGGAATAACTATTTATTTAATTTATTTTTTGTAAAATTTATTTTTTAAAATTAATTTCCTTTTTTATTTACTATTTTTTATTGTTCACCCCTTTACCAGAGTAAAGGTTCATTTGGTCCTTTTTACCCCACCCTAGTGTAAGCTTTCATAGAGGTTATATAAAAAAAACTATTAAATCTAAATTAAAATTAACAATACATCTTATAAAACAATTAAATAACAGATACCTAAGAATTATATTAAGGTTTCATAAATTAAACAACAGTGCTCATAACTTTACTTATAGATATTGGTGGTGGTGGACCTTTTTACGCGCGGACCTTTAAGCCCCGCTCTACCCTTTGTATATATTAATTTAACGCTCATAAATACCATCATTCTGTTTATTATTATTAACAAAGTCTATTATTATCTAATTATTATTAACAAAGATCAGTCTATTGCTCATGTGCAAACATTTTTTGCCTTGTAATTTACTAATAAACAAATTACTATTTTCAAGTATCATCCACAAAAAACCATTTTGTTTAGGTTGGTGTTAAATGTCAAGTATGAAATTTATTCAAATATGCGTTCACTTTTCATTATAAAAACTTGACGCGCGTCACCTTT